CAATCATACGATGCCCCACTCTGCTCTTCAGGGATTCACCATCCTGTACCCTGTTTTATAATGTCTCTTTTTGTTCTCCTTACTTTGAATTTTGCCTAGAAATGGATTGCTGCTAATCAAGTTATTGTAAAAACTCAGAAACACCAGAGATGAGATGTTACCACATGCTTCAATACTTTATTTGGGGGCTCTTCCTCATTTCATGGCTCTAATCTGCCCTATTCACCCTGCTACACCCATTTATTTTTTTTTATGTACATAGACAAAAACAAGACAAACATCTCACCTAGTTTGGTTGTATCTGAACTTTTCTTTCTAATTACTGTAGCGCAGTGTAATTTCTGTCTAAATATTGTAATTTAAAGGGGAGTAGACAGCTATGGCCTCCAGAATCATAGGCAGTTCCCAAACTGATTGTTTATGAGTCCTTGGACCTGCCTACTAAAAGTTAGGCATGGGATTGTTAAAAATATTGAGGCAAAAAACACATGAAAGCTGTAGTGTAGGTCTTAAAAAGATAATGGGGCAGAAAGAGAAGAGAAAAGAAGAGTACTCCTCCAAAAAACTACATAAAAAATGGAGATCCTAGTCTTGCTCTTTGTTTGATGTGGCTCCACCCTGTTTTGCAAGCTCCTGTCCATTGAGGGCCTCAGCTTCACAAAGAGACCACCAAGTGGATGCCCACCCCAGGTTTAGAGAAAGATAAGCCTTTGATCCACCTTCTCCTGCTCTGAACATGAGAGACATTTAACTGCAAGATTGTCACTGGCCATCTCAGCTTGCCTAGTGAAGACCTGAAAGGGTTTTTTTTTTTTTAAATGTGCCATGAAAAATCTTGTTATATGAGGTTTCAGAAGCAACTGTAACTACATAGTGTGGTCTAAATTAAAATACCTTTAATTTATATTCACTGAATGATATAAAATGTATCCTTTAAAAGGCCATGCTTTGCCATTTTTAATTTTATAATTTGCAATTGTATTATTGATTTGATTTCTGAAATGGCAGTCCTAGTAAAAGGCTCAGCTGATAGCCACTTGATCTGGGCACAGAAAAATTCAAAAGAGACTAAAAGTAGAGACACAATATCAGCATTAACCTTGGAAGAATTAAAGGACATGGTTTTTGTGTGAAATAAAAAGGCTTGAATATTAAGTACATGAAAATCCAGACTGATTTAAGAAGCAGAAAGAGGTACATAAAAGAACTGTTAAATAAGAAGTATCTATTAGTAGATGGCTGAAGAGGTTGAAAAGCAAGGGCAAGACTGAACCCTGAAGGAAACTGATGGGAAAATAACTTGGTTCTTTCACTTAAATCTATATACAGTGTTTATTAAAACCAAGCACTTATCAAGCTAGCACTGAAACACTTTTTCAACTTCTGTTTTGTTACCATATATGACATGGGAGGTCATGTCAAATCTTCATTAACTATAATAATACAGTGTTACTCAACAGGATTGAGATAAAATCCTACTTTTACTGCATTTTCATCGCAGAAGATGCACAGAATTGTTTCTTCTAGGTATTTTTTCTCTTGTAAAGGTACGTACCTCAAAAACCGGTATCATCTTTTAAAATAATAGCTTTGCTTACAATTATATAGGTGACCATGCCCCCCAAACTTAGCAGTTTATTACTTTAACTGCAGTCCTAATAAGCGTGATCTCACTCCATCTCACTATTATGGTATTCTCTTAGTAGCAGGAAAACTATAATTGGCTTGTTGTCAACAAAACTAACTTCGTCTGTGGTGAAATAATTCTTGACTGATTGTGTTCTATGAAATCTTAATCTATCATTCAAACCTAGGCCACATTATCATTCCAATGTTTTTGGACTATAATTGCTACCATTTCTGAATATTGGCCACGCTGGCTGGTTTTTATAGTTTGTAGTCAAAAACATATAGGACAGAGGTAGCTCATTTTTGTTGTTATTGTTGCTATATATATTCTCTCGAGCCCTAATTTTGGGGGGAAACACATTTGGTAAGGCTGACTCAAGCTAAGGATGGGCTCAGAGTCAAAAGTGGGAGAGATACCAGTTCTCTTTCTGACATCCTTTTTAAAAATGTTCTCATACCCCTTTTGTCCTTCCCTCATTCTTTTGATATCCCCTTTTCTTTGTCCCAAGCCAGTTTTCTCTTTTATCAGATTGAACTGGCACACTGTGGAGAGCTAATGATTTGGCCAAGGTCACCAGAAATTAAGCACTTGATTGCCTGTCGTGTACCATCACCTTGCCTCAAACTCACTGAAAGCCACATTACATGTGAAACTTATAATCTTGTTATTCTTCTTACACTTAGAATTACCATAAGGAGCATTTACTTATGTCTAAGCAACATGTTTATATTGCAATATGTATGGTACTTACTTTATTGGATTTGGAGGAGGTGGAAGTGGAGGTGGTAGAGGTGGAGGTGGAGGTGGTACTGGATTTTCTGACTGATATATTCGTTTTTCAAGCTCATCAACTGTATAGAGAGAGAACTGAATCCTCACCTAAGGTGCTTTTATACATACATATTTTAAAATGGTAAGTACAAAGGTTTGGTAAAATAAAATAATTTTTTATCAAATAAAATCATCTGCTAATCAATGAGCTAATTGATGTTAAGACTGGGCAGCATTTTTTTTTTTTACTGAGCATCTCTACAAATTAGAGTGCCAAAGGTTTTCCATTACCTTATGCTTTTACACGATCTGTGTATATAGACATAATCCTGGAGAAGATACAACTCACCCACTCTAATAAACTGAAGAAAGATGCTGTGTGAAGCCTCTACTTGCTCTGAAGCACTTTGAATCCAAAGCACAGCACAGACTTAGTATCAGGAAACCTCCATGTTATTTTTTTGTAATTGTTTCACCTTCTGCTAAACCATACTGCTGAATTTAGAGATAATTCTAGATCATCTGATAGGATGATATACAGATAAACAGAAGCAACAGCTTTGATTCTTACAATGAAACATCTTAGTACTGATTTATTGATTTTGTGTACTCATATTTTATAAGACTCTGCTTCAGTAGACATAACAGTACTTAAAAAAAAACTCTTAAGAATCATTACTAGGTTCTTTCTACCCAGTTTTTGATTTGCTAAACAGTCACTATTTTTAGTATTCAGATCATAACTGAATTGAGAAGTCATTAAGAAATGCCATCATGTTGCAATATAGTCAGTACACATACTCAAATAATTTATTTCATGTCCTACAGTGGTCCCTGGGTGAGTCTCCTTGACAATTTCCATAGGTTTTCCACTAACCTTACAAGCCTGTGATTAATTTAACACACATCACTACAGTTTTAGGACCTTACACAAAGGCATTTGTATGTTTTTCTTTTGACATTTTCCATCCACATAATCCAGCTGCTTTAGGATAGTTAAACAGTACTTCCCCTGCTGGTAACTGTATTTTGAATTTATTAAGAAATGGCAATCTTAGATAAAGAGTAGTAAATTACAGTTTTTAGCACTTAATAGGTACGATGCTGTAAGCTGGTCAGGCACCATCCTGGTAAATAATTCTTTGGTAACAACTAAATCACAGTAGTTGATTTATACTGTATGTAGTCTAAGTGGTTTTTTCAGTGCTTCTGCTGTCTTGTTTTAGCCTATATACTGGACAAATAATAGCCAGCCACTCAGACAGCTTCAACAGTTAGATAGTGAGGGGTAAATGTTTAGCCTGATGTGCAGGGAATTAGCCACACAGTTCCCATGGATTTTAGCCATTAACACCCATGGGAGTTGCAAAGCTAATTTCTTCTGCATAGCCTTTGACAAAGCATTTACTTTTTAAAATGTCAGTCACATGAAGGCTCATAAAACAAGAGGAACAAAACCTTCACATCCATAGGAATTGTTGCTTTTCGACTGTGAAGTTCTAAATATTAATTTTAAAAAATATATTCATAATTTCCAGGGATAGAACATCATTCTGTAGTTTTTAAACCTCTTCCTGGCTTTCACTTCTGGAGTGTTCCAACTTAGGTAGCTACAGAAATGTCCTCTTTCGCTGGATGCTACCACAAATCACAATTCTATGTCAAAACATATACAAGGTCAAAACCAGGTGAATTGCACTTCAATTCCACTGAAATTAAAGGACTTGGTCATTTGTAATTTAAATCTCATTGATTTCAGTGGGAGCAAAATGCAATTAATTTAATCTGGTTAAATATCAGCCATGTACCAAAATTTACTGAAGATTCTTGATGTTTTCATTGCAAATGTAGCTTGACAATTGCCATTATGTTACAGACTGCACGTTATGAAATAACACAAAAAGTTAATGTTACGCACAAACATCTTAACTTCTGTTAAGAATGTGTTAATAATATTAGGAACATCATCAACATGTTAGAATTATTTATTTAGCTTACCTGAATGCTTTAAGTTCTTAATTTGTTCTTCAGCACTCTGACACTTCTCCTCTAATTCTTTTTTTTCTTCTTCTAGAAGTTCTAGCTGTTGTTTAAGGGACTTGATTTCTTTATGCAAAATTTCATTAGATAATTGTTCCTCTAATTCTTTAACCTAATATTGACAAATGTAAAACTACAATGAATATCTAACATATTATCTAAGCACTCCTCAAAACTCAGTATCTGATTTTTGACATAGAATTCAATGGTGTAGTACTGTATTAGTATTAAAGGAATATACTAGAAATGGGGTATATCCATGTATTCAAAACCATGTATACAGTTTTTAATTCTATCAGTGGAATAGTCAAGATTATTTTCCCTTCTACCACTAGCACCTTGGTTCTCCCAAACATGTCCCAGATCTCAAAATCCTCTAGAGATTTGGGGGCAAGGAATAAAACTGCAAGAGAGGAAAGAAAAGTCAAACTGCATGCACTGTGGAAAGACAAGCCAATATATTGTTGTTTAGAAACACTTCTTATTTAAACAAAAGACTACCATTTGGAATTCTTTGGGAAGTACTAGCTAACTTCTGTTATGGAGCTTATAAGTTCCCAGAGTGATAAAGATTTAAGAGTGGTTATGTAAACATCACCTGCAAACTTTTTTCTTATCAATGAAAAGATCTGGCAGTTCACAGAAAGCGAGTTTAAAAAAAGAAAAGAAGGCTGCACCCTAACTTCCTTTGAGGATATATTTGCTTTATAGGGAAAACAGTTCAGATGCTAGAATTCTTGTTACCCATTTTTCCTCTCAACAAACCTTGCTAAAGAGACTATGAGAATTATGCTTGGAAAAGAATAATTTTCAATTTTAAGCAGGAGCCAAAAGTCTGACATTTTAATTTGAACCTACTAGTTATAGTGACTCTAGGCAATTGGTTCCTAGTTTTATATTAAAGCATGTTAATTTCCTTGAGTAACTGCCAGTTGCTAAATGATTGAATCCATTCATTTTTAGAATATTATTATTTATTTATTATTTATTAAATCAATTTATTTAGCCGCCCATCTCACCACAGGTGACTCTGGGTGGCATACAACAAAGCTAAAAACAGTAAAATACATTAAAAAGATATAAAACAAATAAAATAGAGAATAAAAGGAAGTTAAAAATAAGGGAGCCACCTCACATTCCCCAGTCCCTTAGGGTCCCCAGACCTGCTGTCAGAACCAGGTCTTAAGGGACCTCCGGGAGCTCAACAATGACGAGGCCAACCTCACTTCAGGGGGGAGAAGATTCCACAGCACAGGCACCACAGCAGAAAAGTCCCGCTGCCTGGGGCCTGCCAGATGTAGCTCCCTAGGTGACAGAACCCGTAACATGCCCTCTCTGCTGGATCTGGTAAGACAGGCAGATGGAATCAGGGGGAGGCGGTCCCTCAGATAACTTGGCCCTATGCCATGAAGGGCTTTAAAGGTCAACACCAGCACCTCGAATTGGACCAGGAAACAAACTGGTAACCAGTGCAGCTCACCAAGCAGAGGTATAACGTGTGTTCTACTAGAAACACACATAACTGCTCATGCTGCTGCATTTTGCTCCAGCTGAAGTTTATAGAATATAGTCTAATGTTGGCACAAATGGACCATCACAGTATAGGACAAACAATTTAAACATCTCCCTGAATTCAGCATATGAATAGAGATGGTTTTAAGAATCTAATGAGGATTCTGGGAGACCACCTGGGAGACTAGTCTATCTGGCATACTTCTTTCTTTAGTAGGATTTGATCCTTCAGTTTAAAATAGTGTTCAAACTAAGCAACGTCTCTTCTGAACCAAAATGTGGTTTTGCAAGTACTTTAAATAGTAAACTGTATAGATGCACAATAGTAAGCATACCCCAAACACCCTGGGATTATGTCCTGCCATGTGTTTAACATACCAGCATTCAAAACAAGAGGTTTACTCAGTTCATGGAAGGCCATGATTTACAGTGAGCAAGCTGCACTCATTCACTTATTGTGAAGGCTTGATGAAGAAATATTTGAATTCCAAAGCAACAGGGGAGCTTCCGGTGGGAAATTATGATGCGGCGATGCTCTCCAAAGGCGCAGAGAGCCACCAAGCTGAGAATGCCAGCTCGGAGGTGATGTCAGGCCCAGCCCAAGAACAACAGGCAAACAAATTCAGTTCTTTATTGCTTGTACCATATAGACAGAATCTTGCCAGACTAAATCTGTACTATGTTAACCTAATAGACTGTAAGAGAATCTAGGGAGTAGCTATCTTAAGTATCTTTTTCCACATTCCTGCTCTGGACTATGTTGCCTCTTGTCTCCTCCTTTTCCTTCCTGGAATGTGCTTCCTCCTTCCTGAGAACCTGGGTCTCTACTGCATTCCGTCACACCATCTCCTCCTTCATAGAGATTCCATCATGTAATCTCCCTGGATCAAAGGGAAATTATGAGATAAACCATGTGCGCTCCGGACAGTAGTTCCTTCTAAGTAAACAGCAGAAATGGAAACGTTTTTGTAGCCGGCTTGGGAGTTGAGCTGCAAGGAGGCCTGGAATTCTATCTATGCTCCTAACTACAGTGGAGACAATATGGACATTAAAGCCCTACTTTCTCCACTTCTTAATCAATTCGGGAAGTAATTAATTACAGATGAAGAGATATTTCCTCTGCGGCAAAGATAAGACTCCTTGCGGTGAGTTAAACCTTCTTTCGAGATTACAAAAAAAAACAAGAAAGAGAGACTTTGATTTAAAGATTCAAGAACTCTTTGCAAAAAGCTGAATTAAAAGAAGATGTAAGAAAGTTTTAAAACGGATGAGGGTACAGTCTTTTTTCCAATTTTTATTTTTATCATTTTTAATTTTGACAAAAGTGCTAGTAATTTTCACTAAGCCAGTTAAAGGAACCAGTCCAGTGTGGGAATGTTTGTTGTTTATTTTTAAAGACTGTATGTAATTGGCAGAATTTACATAACAAAAGATAAGGTAATGAACCAGACTATGATGTTTAGTTACCATGGAGATGTGATGACTGTTGTGGCTAAAGCTATCAAGAGCTATTAAAATGAAAAGGGAAAAAAAAAAAGAGAGGCTTGTTTTTTTTTTATTTTGCCTGCTTGAGACATCTTCACTTTGGATTAAAAATGGCTACTAGAAAAAATGGCTACTGGTAAGAAAGGGCAGGATGGGCTTGCTAGTGAAAGACCCAATCTCCTCTTTCCTTTGCATCTTGTAAAAATGTATTAAAAAAAAAGAATTCCAAAGCAACAGAAACTTTAATGCTTAATCTTAACCCTGTATCTTTGGGAAAAGGACTTTTTTTTTTATTATACGAAACACTCAACTTTCTAAGTAACATTCTACCTGTGTAAGATGTGTTCAGCATGATCCAATATATATCATCGGGAGATTTACTGCACTAAAATATTAAATGGCTGAGGCGGGGGCAGGCTTTCTTACCTTCTGCTGGTGTTGCAATCTCTCTTCCTCCAGCATTTGAGTCAGCTTAGCATTTTCATCTACAGCTTTTGAAAGCTGCTCATCAGGGGTGGAATTTTGCTGCAGCAGCTGACTTTGCCGTTTCAACTTATTTTGTTCAATAAACATCTACCAAACACAACCACACAAAATGTGAATCAGATTATTTGATAAATTGCAGTTATCTGAGCAGACCATATGGAAACTTCAGTTTCTTTTTGGAGCAACCTAGAAGTCCACATATGTCAGGCATCAGGAGACTGCTCTTATCATTTCATCCACTGCTTTGAAAATATCTCAAATGATCAAATGAATGTGGAATAGAGACAAGATCTAGAATAGCACCAGAAAGAAATGGGGCAAATACACTTGTCCTTCATTTCCTTGCATTTCTTGCATCAGATTTGTCAATGTGATGTATTCTATTGAAACACTGAAAAACCAGGTGAAGGAATCAAAAAGATTTCAAGGCACTGGAATTTCATTTACCCAAAGTATCTAAGGAAATTTAGAATATATGGAAATAATTAGATTACTGTGTTGGGATATTAGATACAAGGTTGCACAGAAAGAACTTTGGGCAATCAAATATATATTTGAGTGCCCCAAACTCTTTCTATATAAGAAGAATTGGGCCTCACACTGTAGGGCTTCAAAATTAATTAACAGCTTACATCCAAAAGATGTTGCCTGCATTTTAAGAAGTCTTACAACAACAAAATGTGTTGGTTTTGCTCAATGTGGTTTCACCATATATCTTGTTAATGAACAATGTATGTTAGATAATATAAACTTACTACAAATTATCAGGAAATGAAGCAATTATACTTAATATGTTAGACACATACTATACTGTATAACTATTGCCTGCTTTGTGTAAGACAGGGATCTTTTGTTTTTTACAGCTTCCCCAGTCTGACCAGGTGATTGCATATATAGTCCAACATATCTCAAGGGCACCATGTTGGACTATGCTGCTTTACTAAAAGAAAAAATAATTATTTTTAAATTACTGAAAATTGATCCAGAAAGTGGTTAAAAAAGAAATATATTTTAAGATTACTGCATCAGAAATAAAATGCCCATTATTTCTGGTCCCATGTTGCTTATTTACCAGATAAAATAATAGTCACAGCAGGTTCACTGATTCTTACCATCCCTCAATACTATGTCATTAAAAAAATCAGATACTTGTATATGTATTTATTTATACAAAAAAATCTATGTATCCCTTTGAACAATGCTCCATATACTTTCCAATCTCCTGTTTCTAGGTGGGGAAAAACAGAAGTGAATAGTAAACTTTGGCTCTTGTACTAGTCTACTTAACAGATATTTCATTGTGGTCAACATGGACCATACCAATTGCTTAAAGAAGTTGGATGAATTCCAAGCAGTAGATGCATAGCTTGCTTTTCTCTCACATTCTTAGAGGGCAATGTAACTGAAGCAAGACCAAATCTTATCTTAAATCTGATGAGGAGAGGAGGGAGGGGACAGGAGGGGAGGGAAAAGGAAAGGAGAGGAACATGAGAATAACCTGCAGTGAACAGAACTGTGCAGCACAAGAAAAGCTATTAAGACAAATAAGTGCAGAAAAGCACAGGTACACAATTCAGACTCACAAACTCTAAGGAACATTATATGCATATATGCATTCTTTCAAACAGTTTTAGACAATGTATTCTCCACTAAAACGTTCTCACATACACAAAAACACACAAATACAAAAAACATGCATACACAAAAATATATAAGGTTAGATCAAATAATGTGCATGCTGCATTCCTGCTTCTTTTCAAGTAATTTGTTTTTGTTTATTTAAGCAAGGATAGACAAGTTTGTTGGCTGAGGGTGATTCTTTTTTCTTTTGGGGTGTGTGGGTGGGAATGATGCAAAGTAGAACAAAGCAGTGTTATGCTCTGATTTTCCACTTTTTCTCAGTCTAGTGGAGGGGGGGCGGTGAAGCTGTTGTTGGCTGCTGGGGGTGGAGGATGTAGAAATATGATAACAAACCAAATCTAGGGCTTATTACCAGTTTTACTATTTCTCACATCAAAATGATGGGAAACTGCTCCCTCAGTTTTCAGCATGGCACTCCAGAGTCTGAAGAAAAAGAGGTGGGCAGATATGAAGGTTTATTGAAACTATTCTATTTTTTACCATTTCCAAATTCCTCTCATTGGAGCTAGATTCAAACTCAGTAAGGAAGACACAGGTATGCTAAACAAATTATCTTTGAATAAAAGTGCAACCAAGGAGTCATACCTGGAGTTTCCAACGAAGTATTTTACTCACAAATCTATCCCTATTTTCTCCAGGGTTTCTTGATATCAGCAATTTAATTATTTTCTGAGATTTTTTTTTTCACTCTTGCTATCTAACGCAAATTCCCGTACCTAGCTGATCTTGGCTGATCCTGAGAAGCTAAACAAGGTCAGACCAGTTAGTACTTGGATGACAGACCATCAGAAAACTGGTAGTGTCGCCAGGAAAACTTCCTGAGCATGTCCATGAAGTCACCAGGAGTGAACCTCAACTTGAAGAAAATTTTCTTTTATTGTTAAATCAGTGGGGGTCAGGCAGTCTGGCTAATCAATTGCAAATCACCCAGAGATTTATTAGTGGGCCCCAATTTAGTGGCTGTCCTAAGGTTTGTCTAGACCTGTACTGAGATATATCATTCCTTGCCTGGCTGATTGCACAAAGCTCATGGCCAGTTATAATTTTGACTGCAGCCTTCGTGACCCTTTCCCTTCCCAAATCTCATGACCACATTCTTTTATATCCTTCCTGGCAAAGTATCTTAAAAACCCATGATAAGTCGTGAAAATATTTCAAAAATTGAAAATCTCTTAGCTGATCAGTGTTTACTAATAGTAAACTCTCCTTTCCTTGACCCGGGGGAAAATCAGCAGCAGTTATTGGAAGTCAATTTCATGAACTAGTTATCATCAATAACCTTCGAGCAATGCTTCCAAACATTAACTGATTATTTGAATTAGGACAGGTTATTAGGAGAACTGAAACAGATAACCTATTACATTAGTTTCCCTGAAAATAGTTTAAAATATTAGATTGCTTTACCACTGTTATCTACCTTGGCCTTTTCCTCCGATAAGCTAAATTTTCCATTATGCTTGGCAGGTGACAGATTTAAGATTCTAAAGGTTAAATCTGTTTCCTAACCTCATCAATTCCTGCATATTACAGCTGAAGCTCTGGAATGTTACATTAATTATAGTTACATAGCAGAGGGTTTTTTTTCAAATGCAGACTAGCCTACACATAAGAACCTTTCTGTAAGTGCAGGTTTTTCTGTCCATTTAGAAAGATATTACATATTAATGGACCAGCTATTACAAAGTAACCCCAAAACCATTAATGTATCTAAATGAAGAGTTATTGTGGAGCTTATTATTAATACAGCCCATTGATATCTCCAAATCAATAGCATGCAATCTTATGAAAGGAGCAAAATTCCTATACAAGGAGGTCATGGCTGTCTGGAATTATAAGCATTTTTCTTTATAATTATAAAAAGCAGATAACAGCATTTGACCTTTCTGCATGCAAATGTTCCCTGTGGGATTTTAAACACAGTGTCTGCCAAGTATTTACTCAGGAACCTATAATGAAAAGGGCACTGTAAGTAACCAAGTTAAATATAGTCATTGTATTTTAAAACTAACCGTATTCACATAGTATGTATGGAATCTTTATTGTTACACATATAGAGAAAATTTGACTGAAATGACAGGTAAAGAAGCAAATCCTTTCTACCTTCACCTTTCTACTCCCACTCTCAGATTTCATCAGACAGTGTCCTTATTGTTTTAAGTTACACAGCCACACAGGACAGCAATTTACTCTTTATATTAAAGAAAAGTTACATTGCCAGGATATGTCATATGTGACCATCAACACAGGCCACTGATTTTCAAATAGTGTACAAATATGGATATTCACAAATACAGTATTTTCTTGTTTTCCTCCATCACTGTTAGAATGGAGGAATGAATGCCAGAGCTTATTCTTCCTTAATCCCCAAAAAATAAACACATTAAAAAAATAGTTTCACCATAAGCATAAAACAAAGTCAGTGACATTTGGATACATTTGCAGGCTTGAACAATACTGTATTTCTGCTTTCAGATGAGAATCTATAGTGGACTAGATGTCCCTGAAGAGCGGGGACATCATCGCAGCAGAGATTGGTGGCCAGAAAGCTAATTCTGGCAGGCGCTATCTTTCCAGATAAAGAAGAGATTGTGAGATCTCCCACTTGCACTCCAGACAGCTGCTCCTCATAAGTAGACTGCAGGAACTAACGTTTTTGCAGTCAACTTGTGAGTTGAGTGGCTGGAAGTCAAGGGATTTCAGTCATGCCCACAGCCGTGATGCAGCCTATATGGACACAAAGTTTGAACAAGTCTCCTGCTTCTTAAATACTTTTGGATGTAAATAATTTACAGCTAAACAGAGATTGTCTGAGCAGTAGAATAACAGAATTCCACTTGGTGAGTCAACATTCTTTCTGGATTAAAAAGGAAAAAAAGTTTTAAAGATTTAAAAACTTTTGGCAAAAAGCTTAACAAGGAATAGATGTAAGAAAGTTTAAAACTGATAAAGGGGACAGGTTTTTAAAAAAAATTTTTTTTTTTGGTGAAAGTGCTTTTGAATAAATTGGAATTAAAACAGACAAATGAACCAGACCATCATGGGAATGTTTTTTGTTTACTATTAAAGAGTGCAGACAATTGGTAGATTTTACAAAACAAAAGCTAAAGGTAATATGAGCCAGACTGTGATGCTGACTGTAACTGTGGAATGACATTTAAGATGAAAGTATTAAGGGCACAGGAAGACAGAACAGAAAAAGTTTGAAATGGAATTGTACAAATGATGTACATGTAATTACTAAAATATATAAACTTCTATTGAATTTTGAAACAGAAGAACAAGTGAAAGAAAGTAAGATAAAGTGGGCTAAAAATGTTGGTTATAATATGCAGATGGAACAATGGGAAAATTTGTGCTTGAAAGGACTGAAATTTACACTACATTATAATTGTAAAAATAATTTTTACAAAATGATGTACCGTTATGTCACCAGAGAAATTATTTAGAATGTATAAAGGCACTTCAAATGCATGTTGGGAACATGACAAACAAAAAGGGACATTTTATCATGCCTGGTGGACATGTAAAAAAGCTAGAAAATTTTGGATTCAACTACTATACATACTGTAGACTGATTCAGAGGATTTTAAAGATTAATATACAACTGAGACCAGAGGTCTTTCTTTTGGGACTGACGGCCAAACAGTGGGGAAAACGTCATGGAACTTTGTTTTGTATATGATAACTGCAGCAAGATTATTGTATGCACAAAGATGGAAAGATTCAGCAATACTTACAATGGAGGAATGGTTGGTAATGACGATGGAGCTCACTGAGATGGCTAAATTGACTTCTTTGATCAGAGAAAAGACAATATCTACATTTATTACTGACTGGAAACCCCTTATGGACTTTTGCAGAAAACAGAAAAAAAATGAACTTATGATTTATTGTTTTGATGATTTGACAGGATAGATTATAGAAAAAAGAGAGACATGTTGTAACTTTAGAGAAAGAGGTAAATTTATAACTGTAATTATAACTGCTGTAAAGAAGATTGGAAGCCATTTCCTTGTATCTTTTTTCTTTCTTTTCTATTTTTCTTCTACCTTTTTTTCCTTTCTTTTTCTTTTTGCATTTTAGCTTCCTTTTTTATTTCTTCCTTTTCCTTTTTTCTTCTTACTCTATTTTAGTTTGTATTGATTTTTACCCTTTTCAATAAAATTATATTAAAAAATAACGATACTGTATTTCTAAGGTTCTGGTACCACTTGCCTGTGTCGACGGGCAGGGAGGCAAATGATGAAATATGAGCGATGACACAAACTCTTTTTGTATGTAAGGGATGGAGCTTGAGTTGTGATATCACAGCATGTTTCATCATTCTGACAAAATCGTGGTTTGGAATAAGGCAATAATTAATGCCACTGATATGATTACTCCTAAATGTTCTCAATACAGTCATCATTCAATCAAGTCCTTTACATTACAAGGAGCTGAGGGGACAGAAAATTAGGATGATTAAAGCATAAGTACTAACAAGACTAGAAATGATTACAGTATAAACATACGTAACTACCAACCTGGAAGGAGTTTTACTTCTAATGCAAGCCTATAAACATTTAAATAAATAAATAAATACAATTAAAGAGGTATGCTTCAATTCTTGGAGAGCTACTATTAATATGATTTTTCAAAAAAAATAACCCTGAACTATATTTACTAACAATTTCTATCAGTATAAAGTGGTATTGTATGTACCATGGAGATATATTTTAAAGTCTTTATTTTGCTATAGCCACGCATATTAGTATAACAGAACTTCAAACAATGTAGTATATATTTTTAGAACTGAAATTAACCTGTCAGTTAACAAAACTGTAACTGTACTATCATCCAATATCTACTTTCCCAAAAAACAAAAAGGAAGCCAAACTATCACTTAAGGTCCAAAGCTGTGTTTAGCTTCTGCTATGATGAAATTTTACTGAGCATTGCTAGTGATGCAGAAATTCAATTCAATTTAAAAATTTTGAAAAACAATTTTATATTGATGTAAACAGAGCAAATACATTTTCAAATAAAAAAAGCAAGTGCTTCTATGATTTTGTTTAAGTGAGAGTTCATCTTTCTATAGTTAAATCTTCTACTATACCACATCATAAACCATGATCATGGTATTTATGAGTTGGCTGCTTTTCCATGGTCTGTTATGGTCAAAATTCTCCCAACTTTATAAATATATCTATTTTCCGCTGGATATTTATTTCCAAATAATTTACATTAATTTACAGGAATAGGAGTTAGGAATAATGAAATGCTGGAGAGTTTCTTGATATTTAAACCAGCTGGTGAGTTATTCAAGTTCAACCCAGCCCAGAAGCAAAATCTGATTACGTCAACACTGTTGATTTTTCTCTTTGTGAGGTATTTCATAGAAGTACTCATTCTACTGAAACTGATTCCATCTGAATGCAGATGATGTAATCATGAGGAAACTATATCTTTCAATAGGATAAAACAGCATTTCTAAGGTTAAAGGTCAATGAGAAATCAAGAAGTATGGCAGGATGAATGTAGTCCATGTTCCTGTGTGATGACTTCAATTCTATGGATCATTAGAGTACTGTAAACCACTTCAAACATTTTGGCACAAGAAACACTGGTATTTCAATTTATGAATAAATTATTGTCCATAATTAATGACCAAATGAGGAACTAAGGCACTTATTTGCCTGCCTAGCAGTCTTTCTGAGAACATACATTATTTAATGATAAAAAACAATCTAATGGAGAACTGAGTTAATTTATGAGTAAAAGAGCCAATCTAAATATAATACAGTATTTGCCACGTATGTAACCCTGGTATGAGCCCCGTCATTCTAAAAAGTAGCTTCACACACTGGCAGACAAGTTACATTTGACATTACAACACTGGCATTCAGCACACAAAGCTGGATATTGTATACTGTTAAGGAAGTATTTCCACCAAAAAGTCAGAGAAATATGGTCAAGGCCAAATTAAATAGATAGAAACTCCCCAAGTAACCATAAGAACAATCTCAATAAAATAAACAGCCGTTTACTGCAGAACTGAAGAGTTTTCACCTAAAGAGAACTTTGAAGCATGGTTTTTATTAACTTATTACTAAATCTATTTTTGTACTGCTACATAGGCTGTCTATATGAAGCATCCATTTATAAAACAGAGAATTAAAGAGAAAAGAGCTGAAACTGAAAAAGCCATTGTTTCTTTGGAATATTTTAAAAATATTTGCTATGGTCCATTCTCTGATCAGAAAAAGCTATGAACTTGCATACCTCTTGTGCAAAGGATTCTGCCCTCTTTCGTAAGTTTTTTTCCAGCTCAAAGTTGACTTGGAGTTCTTCATATTCTTCTACTGCTAGTACAGACACTATTTGAAACAAAAAGGAGGGGGAGGAAGAGGAATCAAGAGATAGTAGCAGCAGCAGTGGTGAAATCAAACACAACCATGAAATATGCCATGAAACAAGATTATCTAAACTGTAGCAATATGGCTGGAAGGAAGATATTTTCCTCCTTTCTACTACGGCGTTTGAAATGTTGTAAATAATTATATAAGTAACTAGACATATGTACTGAAGTGGAATGGGGGGTTTACTTCAGTGGGGATACCTCTGCTAGAAGGAAGGAGGGACATTCTTTGAATGACAGCACAATGTTCTCTTCAAAGTTAGAAAGCGAGATGGAAAAATGTTGAAAAATTACTGTAGAAATAAGTTATGATCTTGAAAAAAAGATTGTGTGAACAATGGGTACCATAGTATTACTTTCTGTACCTACATGTATACACATCTTCCACTTTACCTTAAAGAAAAAACACTTTAAATTCCTCTGAGATAGACGGAAGTCTGATGACTTTGATCCAGTGATGTCAGAGGCACCCAATAATAGATACCTAAAACAGTAAAAGAAGTGGCCAATTCTGGGCTCATCCACATTACCCCCTTCCTCCAGTGCCAAGATGGTCTGCTTACCATTTCTGGAGGAGAAGATCTCACAACATAGGCTTGATCTTGGGGCCAGCCTGCCACTATGGCCAAATCAAAGAGATTCAGCAGGAAACTACTGTTTTCCATTGGAAAATGGAACATGATGCCCTGTAGACAATATTCTATGTCACATGGAGGAGATGTCTGAGGGCAGTTGGTGACCTACAGGACTCGAACTGGCTCACTGCAAGATCTTCTCCCATTCAGCTTCAGGGATCTGTACTTGGGTTGCCATTTTTTCTTTGGCTGCTGGAGAGACCAGTACCTCTACAGCAATCGGTGCTTTTTGTTTTGTCATGAGAATTTCAACCTTCCACGAGGTTGGTATTCCAATTTGTGGCAGTATTACTAATACTACTACTGAAGTAACATTAAAAATAACCCCACAATCTGCTCTAGATCTGGCTTCTACATTTGTGTTCTTCCTACTTCTTCTCCTTGCAACAGTGCTGCCTCTGACACTTCTCTCAGCAACCACTCCAATTATTCACATAAGCCACACTGCCTGCCAGATACCAGCCAACCCAAGAGATGGCTGCTATCTAGACACCACAAGCCATTGATGAAGCCCCTGGGTCTAAAAAAGAACAGGGTAGCAGTGGGAAAGGTGGTGACAGCTACAGTAGCATGACATGGATAGCCAGGAAGCGAACAGGAGCACTTCTGGACACCCTGTACTGAGGAAGAGCAATGCCTTCCAGTTTTGGTAAAATCCCTGCCCTTAAACCATGCCTGAGGAATATGCCTAGTACGTACTGGGGAAAGTAACCCTACTGGCCTGGTGTCTGAAATACAATAAAAAGAGCCACTGTGGAGGTAGTAATTTCTCCCACCTCAACATTGCCAGGAGTGTGGGGAACAGCCCATTATCTGCAGTCCTGTCTGTGTTTTTACATCTCTGTCATTTAAATAGACCAGACTTTGATATCCAGACAAAGCTTTTCATGTATCCATGATTTTGGGCTTGTTTTTGTTACACTACTCATGTGCAAAATGGTGGCTAGAGCTTTGTGCATGCATAAAAACTATTTTTTAAGGTTAGGTTGTCTGCACAATGTACCTTTATTTGTTCCTCATTCTTGCTCTGTTATAGTGGATTTTGCCAGTTCAACCCAGTTGTGAGGCTGACGCAGTTGGAGATGGAGATTTTTATCCCACTCATGCCAAGTGGTTCACACTAGCTTCTCTGCTCTGTATGGCTCTTTCCCAATGTTGGGAGTGGGGAGAAAGGCTTCCTGGTTGCACCTCTGGATACTGGTGCTGCAGGAGAAGCACTGATGGCTCATTTCAAAGAAGGCCAGTGGCCACAAGGAATCTCATGAGCAGGCTGACCAACAAGATCAGCCATGACCAAAAAAGAGAAGGAGGAATAAATACAAGTACATTGTGCAGATGACCACTGTGGAAGGAAGAAGGAGGAAGTGCTAATAAGAAGAGGAGGTTAACCATAGGCTCTGGAACCCAATCCTTCAACTCCCACAAACTCAATGCCTTGTTATTTGTAGTTTTGCTATCCACTGTTTTGTGTTGGAATGGAACCTTTGTGAAAAATTAGGGCACCTGTATACATGATTGAACAGGAAAATCACCTTTTATTTCTCTTTTGGCTGGAAGAATAAAGTCTCCTGTCCTCTGGATTTATTGTGAAGTTTGCAAAACAATGGCATTTGCTATTAATTCTGAACACTTTTGGAATTACAACTATTCTAAAATCATTAAATGTTAACACAGCCTTATTTAAGCCTAGTGGGTTAATGTGTATATAGTTTTAGTTAAATCTTTAACTATGGATTCAGTAACCTGAAATACTAGTTTTCATAATCATGAATTCAGATTAGATTTCCCACTTCAGTTATAAATAAGTAATGATGGCATGAGTGAATGGGGGGTAGAATATTTTATGATCTAACTGCCAAGATTATAAATATATCAAGATCTTCAAAGAACATCAACAAGCAATTAACTCACTAAATCATCTTAACCTTTGTAGTTTTGATTCTTACACTTCTTGAGTAAGTTCCCATAGTTTAATTTGACTGACTTGGGCAGGGGGTAGGATTAGAAGACCTCCAAGGTTCTTCTAACCCTATGATTCTATGACTTAGATTCTTACAGCTTCTACATGTAAGTATGCTTCATTAGGCTAGGGTCTAGAAGATTATTGTCTCCCCCAACCTAACATGTGGCAGCAGGCTCCATGCAATCACCAGAAGTGAAAGGTGATGACACCTATGTAACTATACTGTACATTGTATCATCCAATGTGGGAATATAGAAACTTTTGCAGTGATAAAACAGAGTTTCTTCCAGGCAATCAGATATGGGAACTTTTGTAAATTGGCACTATTCTCTTTTAGACTGTCCTGTCACACAAATACTGCAGCATCACAGTTCACTTTAGATGTACACCTAAAAATGTGATGTATGTGCACAGGATAGCCAGGAGCTCCTCAGTTATACAGTTCCATCTAAATCAGTACTACTGTTGCCAAAAATCTATGAACAGGTATGGGAGAAAAGAAACAATCTTGCCACTATCCTCCAATGCTAAATCCACAGTTGGAACTGATTGGAGGATCTGGGAAAAAAGAAGCATATGGGCTGGTCAGCAATGCAGATCCTTCTGGACCTTGGTTTCTATCGACTGTGAATTCCATGTAGATCCTACACCCTTTACATTCCTGTCCCTTTTCTTGCTTCTCATATATAAATGTACACTGGCCTTCTTGGATTTGATTATATCTTGTGACTGTCCAGTATGTGAATCTGTCCTAAAGTCCTGTGCTAAACTTACTCTTTCGGTCTTGAGTATGCAAACTCACTCAGAGCAGGTTGTCTCTAACAGATGAGATACAAAAGATGTAGTCGTAATTTCATATTGGTTATTGTTTGTATGACATCATGGAACCACAAACTAGTGAATTACATTTTCGTTTAGCCATGTGTGCAAACCCAGGCCAAGTGATTAGTTTACAGTTTGGTATGTTGCATGAACCCAGAAAATTGTGCTCCCATATTTATACTAAATATGGCTAAGTGTGTTGTATGAACATAGCCATTATTAAATTTGAGTCCTATACTGATAGGACTATTTGAGGATGGGGAGAATTGCAAAGTACATTCAGAGTGGCAGTGCCTTCTGGAAAGTGTGACTATTGCAGAACTCTAAGCAAGAGCAGTTTTTAAACTGTATCTCAAGGCATGCCCTTGCACAATACCAATTTAATAATTTTAAACATATGAAAGTGCATCTTTTCTGTGGCATTCATAAGAAAGCAGAAAACGGAAGGATGCAATCTTCATCTTCTAGTTAAGAGAGGCTAAATCTGGTGAGATGTTGCCTGGATTTTCTGACTGACTCTGATCAACCTCTTATACATCTTCTGTAATGTAAGGATGATTTGTCAGTTTTACGGTTACAGTGCTTATTACAATCTCCACAAGAATGTGGCAGTAACTGTCACTATTAATCTTTGTCTCAGCCATAAATCTAGAAATCCTGATCAAGTGGATCAAAACTTGATTAGTACTCATCTCACAACTAGTAGCTTCCAGGATCAGATAGTAGGAATGTGGAAATTTGCAATAATAGATCTAAACTTTATAGGCTGTTCACAGGTACAGATTTTGACAGAGTTTCCATTAAAAGCCTAAGATATGCTTTGGCTAGTAGAATCTGTGAAATATTGTCCCCGTTCTAGATTTCTGTTATCTCTCTGTCTGTTCATCTCATCAGTACAACACAGCTATCAAAGTATTACCATTAAGAGTTCTTGAGAAGACAAAAAGCATACACACATACTTCGATTACATTTTTCCAACACTTTCTGATGTTTGTGAACTTCTGCTGCTAGAACTGCATTTTCTTCCTTTACTTTGTTTACCTGAGGAAAAAAAAAGAGAAAGAAATAACAAGAGATTATTGGAGAAACCAAAACACTAATAATGCTGCTATGAACACTGCATGAAGTTTTGCTTCAAATCTATCTAGCGTCCAATCCAATTATCAATTTTAAGCTAATAACTGCAAACATGGAGTGTATCAATATTTTTAATTGTTTCATTGATGTGCTAGTTTTTGTGCAAAGTTGCAAGCAACTGCTGGTTTTCCAGCTAAAGATGCAATCTGAAACAAGCTCTTCCCATTTACTTCCTAATATCTTTGGTCAAGATTATAGCCAAAATGGCATTAAAACAGTTAGAATGCTTTAAATGCTATAGTAAATGGAACTTGCCTTGAGAGGTAGCAATTAAATACTTTGCAGCTCATGCAGAGCAAAGCCCTTGCTTATGAAGAATTAGATTTAGCTAGCAAGACAGCTTGCAAAGGGACAGGATATTATTAAGATGTATAGTTAAAAATTCTTGCTTTAGCTTTGACTAGCATAATACAGTAGCACCATATATTATGATTCTACCATAAAAATCGCAGCCTCCAATTCCAGCAACTGAGAATAATCCATTCCCTCACATGGTGAACGGTTATAATCAAAAACTAGATAGAATAGCCCTGACCATTCTCAACTATCTTGCTACAATACTTACTTCTGCTACTCCTTCTGCAAATTTGCTCTTCAGGTTTTCCAGCTCAATGACAACAGTCTTCTTCTCCTCTTGAAGTGAGATAATTTGATCTCGCAGATCTTCATTTTCAAGAATGGCAGCCAGAGTTCATTTTTCATTTTGAAACAAAAAGAAACATGGTAAGTGCAGAAAAGCTGAAGAGCAAAGCATTGACTGTCTCTTGAATTATTAAGAAAGGTTTCACATGTCGATGCTCTCACAAGCTGTATTGGTTAGCTAGCCCTTTAGTTTGAGTTTCATTATGGAGATTTCCCAATTTGAAAGGGATTGTATATTATCAACTCAGTTATACAAGGTATCTCTCAATTTTAGAGTCAATTTCTTTCTAAGGAAGACATAAATTATTTGCTTATTTTGCAGTTCTACTAGCTGTTATCTCAAGTTCTATTATTCTCTGTTTCCATCAAGTGTCATCTAAATAATAAAGTAGGAAACCATAACTAGAAATCACTACCTAGAGAGATTAGCATTCAAAATTAAGACACACAAAAGTAAAAAGTTATATGCCATTTAGCACTACAAAATAATATTAAGGTACTACATTTTAATACAATTAAGATTTAAATACTCCCAGTTCATATAACCCTGTCAACGACATATAGTTAGGATAAAAGCATATAAATGTTTCAGAAAAAAAATTAAAAATCAGTATAAAACCCACAAAAACTATACTATTCAAGCAAGCAGCAAAACTAAACAGAAATAGTTTTAAAACTCTCATTTTAAAAACCTGGACTAGTTTCAAATTAATCAAGTATAATCAGAAGTATCAGAAACTTGCGTTAGCTTTGACTAGCATAATACAGTAGCACCATATATTATGATTCTACCATAAAAATCGCAGCCTCCAATTCCAGCAACTGAGAATAATCCATTCCCTCACATGGTGAACGGTTATAATCAAAAACTAGGTAGAAAAGCCCTGACCATTCTCAACTATCTTGCTACAATACTTACTTCTGCTCCTCAATAATTTAATACAATAATAATTTAATAGTAGAGAGGAAGAGAAAAAAGGAAGTGGGTATCAGTCTTCCTAGAGTTCCTGAATAGATACCAATACATAGCTTAATTCAGCATGCTATGAACTCTTTGTAAACCTCTTCCTTAAATGCATTGTTTGACATACTACATACTGCCCCCAATATCATAATCACCATTTGATGGAAGACTGCCCTACAAAAAGCAGGACATAATCTGAAACTATGAGTCTCTGGATGAGGTTTGGTTTAAGTCAGTAAACTGATTTGAGTGGATTTATGCTTCCAGCTGAATTGCAGAGATGATGCTAAACTATTCAACCTGAGTCAATTGGAGTCCCCCCCCCCCCAAATTAAAGTGTGTTCAACCAATCCTTCAGCCAAAACAATGCCATCACAAATTCTGCTGTCCCACTGCTAAGCACTATTATATTTTTGCTGCTTCTGTTTCAGTTCAATGGCCAATGGTCTCATTTTGATTTGTGAGTTTGCCACTTATTCTAGGGAAGCTGCTGTCCTGTTTCAACATATGACTTCCACTAATTAGGCCTCTGCAGCAGGAATAGGCAGGCGCCATCTTCAGAATGCAACACTGTCTAATGTTTGAATTTTTTTTTTAGGCTGGTTTGCCTATCTGTCCACACACCATGTGTGTGCTGGAGGTGAAGCTGGAGGTTTCATCAAAATGTTGAAATGTGCATTGTGACATTACAATACACATTTCGACATGCTGATGAAACAAGCTCTGCCTGTTAAGTATTTGCATGCAATACTTAATGCAATTACAAAAAGGGGTGGAGTTTCGTCATCCCCCTACTGAACCCCTGTGGATGCCCATGTCTCACACCTTATCTCCCAAGCTAAAATAATATGAGATCCCATGAAATCATGGGAAGACATCAGGGTAGAAATAACCTTAGAGGGGAGTGAGGGAGACACTGTCACAAATAAGCAAGTAGCTACTGTATGTCCTGTAGAGCAGGAGAATGGAAACTAGCTACTGGACAACCAGGGTTCTTTATGGGGAGTGAGGCAACTGAAACTGGGGACCAAAGAACAAAGGCCAAGTTCAACATCTGCCATCATTTTTTGGACATTACAGTGAGGAAAAGATGTGCTCTTGATAAGTGCAGGCAACAATGCATATAACTGGTATAATAAGATGTATATACAGTACACTTCTCATAATATAATAGCCTTATCTTTCTGGTAGCCTTCAGCTGTACTGGGGTTCACCTGCCATCATTCCTAGAGAGCAGAGCAACTGCCCATGCTGATGAGGGATTAGAGGGGTTGAAATCCAACACATTTGGAACCCTTAGGTCAGTGTTGTCCAAACTTGGCCACTTTAAGATGAGTGGACTTCAACTCCCAGAATTCCCCAGCCAG